TGTTTAATGATAATTGCATAAATGAGCCAAACTTTTAACTAATGGCATAAATGAGTCTTTTCTGAATGTTCGACGGCATATTTGAGACTTTTCGCTAAAAATCTTAAAATTCAATCAATAAAAAATGTATTTATAAATTCTTTAACAAATTTGTTGGTGTTACATTTTAATACTAATAAAAGTATATTATATGTCACATTATATATCATGTTATGTCTATTGATGGACATTACATTTGCCTTTTTACTCTCATCAATTGTGGAAGAAAGTGGTCATTAGTTTTTGTAACTTATGTAACCATCAACTTTTCATTTCATCCATTATTCAATATTTGTGTCTTGTAACTTATGTAATATTTGAGTCATTCATTTAACAAATTTACTATCCTCTATCTTCCTATTCATTGCAAACAAGACTTTATCAACTATAAATAGTGTGGTGTTCCTTTGTATTGGTAGAGAAAAAAACAACAAAATGTATAGAGTAAAGATGAGTAGTATTTTATTACGTTTGTATTGAAATTAATGTAGTAGTGAAAGAGAGAGTTGAGACAAAGAATAATATTCTAAGTCTTCAATTATATTCACTATATACCAAAGAGAGTATTATATGTTGAAGGACGGTGTTCTTTTTGTGGAGCTTTGGACTCTTCAACTAATCTGGAGTTGCTTGAGTTATACATGTGTTGGGTTGTTACATTCTGGAGGAGACTAGTCAAGAGTATTACTGCTGGATCGGTGTAGATTATGCCGCAATGGACTTGAATCTCTTTAAAGAGAAGAATTATAATTATTATTATTATTAATTATTTCTTACTTATGGCTCAAGTAATACCATAAATAGTAGTTAATAAGGAATAGATCTCGTTCGTACATTGGTTACTTGATGGACGTACAAGATTAAATAATAACCTCTATAAATTGGTCATCACTCCACCCATTAGGGTTAACCACATATTCTCTATAATAATAATTTCATCGCTGACGGTTGTGGTAACATAATGTAAGGGAAAGGAGGTAGAAACCAATTTACGACTAATGTTTTCTCTTTCCTCTGTGATAGTGTCTTCCTCATCAGGTATGTACCTCTAACGATTTTTATGTAAGATTATCGTGTTCAAGATCCTGATATTATGTTATCAAAAGTATTTTATCTTACATTTGGCATCTGAGCCTGGATTATTTGAACATATAATCTTCATAAGTTATATAACCGCATCAGCCTTGGTAGGTTAATAAAGAGTAATTACCGCCCACCATTCCTAAATAAATAAATAAATATGTTTTGCTTTAGATTGCGCAAATTTTGAAAATTTTAATCCTCCCATAATGTAATAATTATATTTTCTTTTAGATTGTGTAATAAGTTAAAGTGGTCGTTATATTAAGTAAGGAATAATATATGTGTACTTAGTGCCATATAGTTTGTTAGTCACCAAAGTGGCCAAACCAGAAATTAATGTTTACACATATAATATTTATGTTCACTTGGCATATGTTGATTAGTACAATTCATTATTTATTGGCACGTTCAATATTTGAAGAGAGACTGAGTTTGATTTTTTAACATGATGCATTTATTATGCTTTTATAGTTTGTTAGCCACCAAAGTGGCCAAACTAAAATGTTTAAAATTATTCACATGCACAAAAAATTTATGATGTCATTTGTGCTTTGTATTTATATAGTTTGTTTTTCACCAAAGTGGTCAAACTAGAGAAATTAATGTATACACATATAATATTTATGATCACTTGATGCATGTATTATGTTTCTATAGTTTGTTAGTCACCAAAGTGGCCATACTAAAACGTTTAAAATTATTCACATGCACAAAATCTTATGATATTATGTATGCATTTGTATTCATATAGCTTGTTAGTCACAAAAGAGGTCAAACTAGTATGATTGAGAAAAATATGCACTCATAAAATTGTCATTTATCTATGAAAGTTAACTAAATGCCTATATTGAAAAATAAATAGATAAATTGATTTTCACTATTGCTAGAACTTAAAAGTTTTTACCCAAAGGTGAATCTATCATTCTACAAATAGTGAAAAACTATGAGGTAAATTAATATTTTCAATTAAACATATATTGTATATTCAAAGATGTCATATATATATTTTGTTAAAATTATTAATTTCCTATTAAAGATTTTTTTTAAAATGACATTTTAATTATGATAATGTGTCGTAGTATCTACCCAAAGGAGAATTACGATGTACCTTTATTGTTCTACTTAATTCACATTATTCTTTATATGTGAACATGTATCTATTTGCAGTTATTCCTCTTCATTCGCAATGCTTCGTCTAATACTGTGTTCGATGGATTGAACTTCTCTGAATGTCATGAACAAGTCAAGTTTCACTTAGGTGTGATGGATCTTGACTTGGCTTTGTTGAATGAAAAACCTACTGTCATTACCGATAAGATCAGTAAGGATGAGAAATCTTTTCATCAATCATGGAAACTCTCAAACAGATTGAGCCTTATATTCATGTGAACAACTGTTGCTAACAACATTATGAGTTCTATTTCACAAACAGAAAGAGTCAACAAATATTTGATGTTTGTGAAAGAACATTTTCGTTCTACTAGTAAGTCTCTCGGTAGTACACTAATGACTGAACTGACGACCATGAAGTTTGATGAATAGTGTGGTATGAAAAATCATATCATTGAGATGACTAACATTGCAGCAGGACCTCGAACCTTGGGGATGAAAGTGGAATACACCCATTGCATCTTGAGTATGGACAGTTTCAGATTAACTATAACACTATTAAGGATAAGTGGGATGCTAGTGAATTGTCCAGTATGCTTACTACTGAAGAGTCAAGACTTAAGAAACATAAGGTCATTCCATTAACCTCATGGGTCAAGAAGCTGGTAAAGGACTTAAAGTGAAGGCTAACAAGTTTAAGAAAAAGAAAACACTTGCTAAAGTTCCACATAATGCTCATAAGAAACTCGAGGATGATGTGTGTCGTTTCTGTAAAAAAGAAGGACACTATCAGAAAGATTGTTTGAAACGTAAAACTTAATTTGAAAAGAAATGTACATTTAGTATCTTTATATGTTTCGAATAAAATTTAGTAGAAGTTCCTAATAATACTTAGTAACTTGATTCTGGTGCAACTACTCATGTATTCACTATGTTGTATGGATTCACTACGATCCAAACTACTAATTCAAATAAAATAAATAAAAAATAAATAAATGAATTCCGTTCATGGGAAATTGCATAAAGACTAAAATTGAAGGCAGAGAGACTTATAGTTTGATCTTGGAGGCTTGACATCACCTTGATCTATTACAGACTCTTTATGTTTCTTCAATTTCTAGAAATTTGATTTCTCTTTCAAGACTTAATGTTTCTGGATATGATTTAAGTTTGGAAAATGATTGTTTCAACCTATGTCGGAAATCTCAGAGACACACTTATACTATACTAAGGTCCTATTACCCCCCTAAGATTATTTTATTAATAATTTATTACCCCCTTTTGACCTACGTGGCACTATCTTGTGGACCCAAAGATGGTTGACTTTTTTTTCAAACTAGTGCCACGTAGGCTAAAAAGGGGTAGAAAATTACTTGTAAAATAAGTTCAGGGGGGTAATAGGACCTTAATATTGTATAAGTGTGTCTCTGGGATTTCGGGCATAGGTTGAGGGGGTACTTGTGCATTATCCCTATATTTAAATAAATGCTAAGTATCATATTGACTACAATACAATGAATGTTTTAAAAATTCCAAGATTGATTGTTCATATTCTTGTATGTGTATTAGTACATATATTGAATAATTATAGTCAGACGCTTCAACTTTAAACAATAACTACAAATTTAGTTTTTTTAAAGAATAAAATATAAAGTGTCCTTTCACTTCTTCTATAAAGAAATTCAATGATATTTTAATGATCTTTTTATAACTTTGACTTTTGAATTTCTATATCTTGACTATAAATATCATTGTGTGCTTCACTAATTTTTCGATATGTAAATTGTTCCATGATATATGTTGTCTTAGTTTTTATGATAGCTAATTCTCTTCACTACTTGTATCTTAATCTTTGTTTGATAATTTTATCGTAGATTAATTAAGATATGTTTAAATTCCTCTTCTATGTGTTCAAGTGGAATTTTTATTTTGTGTTATTATATTAGAAATGAAGATGTTATACATTTGTTGATGTTCATTAATAATATATTTGTTACTTTCACCTTTCATCCATGGAATGGGTTAATGACATATTCATGACAATCCTTTGAGTCTCTCAATTATATCCTATCGGAAGATATTTTGAATAATTGGAAGAGAAAAAAGAAAGTTGTCATCTCTTATCTGTCAATTATTTTTTGTACTTTTTTCTTTCATATTGTCATTTTTAGCTTCATTTTATAATATTTTTGTTGATTTCTTTAGAGGTGTTCTTTTATTTACCATTAAAAAATCTCTATTTTCTTTTCCGAGTTAACTCCTATTTGATAAATAAATAACTACAAATAAAAAATTATTGTACACAATAAGACTTTCTTTGCATGGTTGATAATTGATCTTGCTTTGGTGACCACAAATGTAAGTTGTATACCTTTTAAAGTACTTTATTCCTGATTTACTATTTTATTTTACAAACTTTATAGTAAAAAATAGAGTTATTAATTCTATTAAAAGGTTGAAGCAACAAAGGTAATGGTTGGATTACTAACACTCTTTGAAAATATAAAATATGAAGAGTTTGAAGGGTTACTTAATAACTAAATAGACTTAATTCAAGATACCATATTCATCTTGTAACGACCCTCTTAGTCGTTTTATAAACTTTAATCATTATTCTTATATTAATAATTTTTAATAATTTTTATAAATAAATTATGACTTATAAGAATGGGTGAAATTATTTTCATATTTAACCAAAGATTATTTTGTTGCTAATAATAATAGAAAAGAAAAATAAATAAATAATAAAAAAAACAATATAAGGGCAATGTTGATGGTTGTAGTGGAGAGAATCAATTCACGCAGCCGCCGAGGAAAAAAAACTAGAAAAGGGTTGGGCGAGAATAACGTCTTCTTCCGGTGGTTGGAAAAAAATGAATTTTTCTTCAGGTAATTAGTAATTACTCTTAAATCTTTATACTAGTCCAAATCATATTATTGTTATCCAGTTGATTGAGTTATGTGAGTAAAATAAATAAAAAAAAGGGAGTGAGCAGTAAATGCTCTTCGATAAGAATTTGTTTCTATGTTTATTTGAATCGATAAGTAGCTAATCTAATATTATGTTTTATAATATGCTTGTTAAATAAGGAAATCGGAAGGAGTCTAGCAATTTGTTTTGGAAGTTTTGGTGGGGATAAGATCTAAAAGTCGTCATTAATTGATGACCAAATTCTTTTTCATTCGAGGTATTAAAATAAAAAAAAAACAATGCTCAAGAGGTTTATACGTATGGAAAGGGGTTCAGGTGTTTGATTTTCTCCATTTAAGTTACTGTATGTAACTTGATAATAATTTGGGCATTTCTTTTATTATATTGTTACAACTATTTTGGAAAAATTTAGTGTTGGTACTATTCTTATTCTTATTCTTATTATTGTTATTATTATTATTATTATTATTATTATTATTATTATTATTATATAACATTAGATATTTGTAATATTATTATAATTGGTTGAGACTAATTATATGCCAATGATTAGAGGATAAGGGTGGGGAAAATTATAGGTTATATGAATATGCAGATTGTTATATTTACATAAGTAAATGCCGATTTTCGTAATTAGGTCCGAGTGCTCTATAATTTATTTTTATTAATTATAACTTTGTTATGGTTCAAATTTTGAGATGATGGGATATGTTGTTAGGTTGTATGTGCATTATATTATATGAATATAATTAAATTCATCAAACTGGAGGAATTGAGACTTACCCCTAGACTTAAAATTTGGAAAAATATAAGAATTAACATACTAAATAACATCGATATTTGAAAACTTAAATATTAATTTTGGTGTTGTAAGCTTCACAATCTTATCGTGATTATTGATGTCAATAGATTGCTTGAGTTGGAAGTTCAGCAAAAGGGGAAAACCCAAGTCTCGGAGTGAATTCTCGATTGGTTAAGGCAAGTGGATTTCTAAACTCTTGTTAAGTGTATGAAATGCGTGTATTTTCTTGTGGTATATATTTGGGAGTAACGAGATTGGTGATGGGTTCACTTGTCCACATTGGTTAATCTAATGATGAAAAAAAAGGGATAAAAAAAGGGCAATGTAATTAATTATTTAAGTGTGATGTGTTCAGAAAGGGATGAAGGATTGTTGAATCATTGTTAATGTGATTTCATGTTTGTGTGGTTTTGAATTGTGCAATGTTATGAAAATGGTCATCTCCTCATTATTTTTGTGAACTTGTCATCTGCATTATTATGAGGCATTGGTTGTGACAAGTGTTATGTGCATTGAGAAAGAATGAGTACTTAAGAAGATGTACATTTTCGAGGGACGTATCGCGCGCCGCGATGGATACTATATTTCGAGGGACGTATCGCACGCCGCGATGGATACTATATTTCGAGGGACGTATCGCGCGCTGCGATGGTTACTATTATCGAGGGTCGTGTCGTGCGCCGCGACAGATGCATGGACAGATATGTCCCCCTTGGGTCCCGAACTGACAGACAGCGGGTGTGCATCACTAGGTCAGACATGCATCCTTATACTTGACATTGCATTCCATTGCATTGCACATACTTATCATTAGTGAATTTGATATCGTGTTTTGCTGATCTTCTGATTGCCTTTCTGTTGAACTTGTGATTGATTAATATTGAGCTTGTTATAGCGGATATGTAATTTGTTGAAGTGTTGTTGTTGAGGATATGTAATTTGTCTAAGTGTTGTTGTTGAGATACGTGCTATGTAGACTGTGAGCTGTTAGGTTGGGTTGATTTTAATGCAGGTTGTAGTTGTGGAGGTTCAGTTGGGGGTGGTAGGAGTACCCGTATTTCATCCCCTTATCCTGTGTTTAGAGGTTTACTTGCTGAGTACCGTGTGGTTTGGTACTCACCCCTTGCTTCTACAAATTTTTGTAGGTTATGAGCCTGGATTTTTGTTGTACTTGTCATTCTCTTCTTTTCCAAGGCTTCTTGGAGATTTGTCAGGTAGCTATTTCCATCGCAGCAGACTTTCTTCTCCTTAATTATGATCTTGTTCTATTCTAGAAACAAGTTCATTTGAGACTTGAGTTTTTCTTTTGAATCAATTGTAATACTTTAGAGGCTTGTACACGTGACTACCAGGTTTTGGGGGGTCTTATTAAGTTACTTATATTTTATTTCCGCACTTTATTGTAATGGTTGAGTTTTAGGCTGACTTGTCTTGGTGGGATAAGACGAGTGCCATCACGTCCATTTTTGGGTCGTGACAAAATGGTATCAGATCTCCAGGTTCGTAGGTCTCATGTGTTTACAAGTCGAGTCTAAATAGAGTCTCGATGATCGGTACGGAGACGTCTGTACCTATCTTCGAGAGGCTGTAGTGACTTTTAGGAAATATCTTCATTTCTTGGATCTGTATTGTGCGTACTTGGTCCGATTCGATTTTTATCGCTTCATTCTGTTCTCTCTCATTTACATGATGAGTCGTGCATAGTTCCTCAAGTGAATTTTTGGCATGTTGTATTTTCTTGAATGTTAGACCTATTACTAATATGAAAGTTATGGTATTATGAAAAACATGTGTGGTTAGATTTAAAATATTCAACAATTTGAAAGGGTTGTGTAAGATTAGTTACCTTAGTAAAATGAATAGTACTTTTGCGATATATAAGATAGCTACAGTGATTTAACGAGTAAAAGTGAAGTCATTAAAAAGGTGACTGGATAGAGGACATGCAACTTTGGAAACTACAATTTGTAAAGTTATCATAATGTGAATGGGTTGCTTAGAAGATGATAGGAATACTGATGGACCAATGGAGGTTAGAAGTATTACGATTTTATAGGTTTTGTGTATTTAAAAAAAATGATGGTATGACTACTTAGTATAGATGTTTACTTGGTTAGCGTTATGGAGAGTGTTACTTCTATTATCGAACTAATCTATGAAATAGTGCATAACGATTGGATTAGAGATCAAATGGATTTGGTAATGTACTACAACCACTCAACTTATAGAAATATGTGAGATTTGAGTACAATCTTCTCAGGGGGTATGATGTGTTTTAGTGATGGATCTAATGAAATTTCATGATGTGGTACTAGTGTTATATAAAAATTGATAATTCGATGTTAAGTGTGAATAATAACTACTTAAGAACTATCGATTTTATCATATACTCATATTATAAGATTTTATGTTACATTCATATTTGAAAACCAACTAGCTTGTTACTATGAACGAATGAGTTAAGCATTATTTATAAGAAAGCTTTTAGTGGTGGATCTTTGGTATAATATTAATGTGTGAGTAGGTTATGATGTGTATCCTTAGGATTCTAAATGAGCAGCGGTTATTTTATCATAAGCCCCAATTGAGTGAATTAATATTGGAATGACTATCTTATATGTAAAGCAAATCCCAACAATTGAAAATTTTTGTAAGAAAATATGTATAAAGTTAAGTTAGTCTGTTTAATTCGATTGGTATAGTTGATTTTGAGATGTCATGTCATGACAAGGTTGACTTTGTTGTAGTGATAAGGGATGACTATACATAGTGATAACTAGAGTTTGTGATGGATGATGATTAGGTTGCAACTATATGATAAGTTTTGTTGGTTAAAAGACTTTTGTATGATAAGGGTGACTTTCGAATGTCTGAGTTATGGTTTACTATTGTTTGTGACTAGCATGGTTGTATGGTAATTTTTATGAGGAATTATGATGTCACTCGAATAGAATTGAAAGGAGCTAGAGCCAGAATGGAATGAATTAGTGGGATGTAGTTTAACCTTTAGAAGGAGGTGAGAATAAGGATATTACTCAGATTGTAAGGGTCAAAGTTGTCAGAAAGAGTGGATAATTAAATTCAAAGATATGTGATTTCATTTTTTGCCCTGATTATGATTATATATAGTGTCACCAGATCAACTGATTGATTTAAATAAAAAAATAACTATTGGGTAACTTGAGAAAGGAGTGTCTATAGATGTTCAACTTGAGTGTGATTATATGTATTTTTTTTATGTTTATAAGTTGGTAATGAGTACAGTTGAAGTTTTGGCAAAGGATATGATATGATTGATGGAGAGGCGATCAATGTAAGCTAAGATACATGAATTCATAAAAATCTTCAAGATATGAGTTAATGTTGATAGATAAAGGGGTTGTGTTACATGTTTGGAATAAATTCAAGCTTTTAATTGTGAATTTAGATTTGTGCTAGTGTGTTTTGTCAAAGTATGAATTGGTAAAGTAAGAAATAATCGATAACATTGAGTATGAAGCATTTGGAAGGACTTAAAAATAATTTGAGTAGTAAATTTGATTACTTTTGATTGTTATACTTGAGGGAGGTTTCATGCAATGTTTTGGTTAGAGGGTAATGTAAAAAGATAATGAGTTGGTCAAAGGATAAGACAGGTAAGCAAGTAAGCGAGACAAAAAAAAAGTTTGATATATTAACGATTTAAAATATTTAATAATTGCATTATGAGAAGAATTTAAGAAAGGTAAAAGAGTAAGACCCTTCGTAAGATCCTTGGTTCATAATTTAAGGTTATATGGATTTTAACATTTTAATTAAGATATTACTATGAGATATGAACTGATTCGGTACAGACTTACTAGGGGTTATCAACGACTTAAATAAGGATTGAGTTTGATCAGGTGACAAGCAACTGCGTGTGAAGGATTCTACTTGGTTATGTAAAGTTAGATTGTTCAAATCATAATAGGTAACTTATTGATGTTAAACGGTGTAAACCTACAATTTTACATGATTAATGAGGATTTGAAGGGATTGAAACTACTTTGTTGTGGGACAATTTAGATTGTTATGATGTGTTATATATGTATTTGATGGTGAATGGAGGTTATGAGCTTATATTATACCGAATTATTGGATTGATTGAGAGTTTCTCTAAGTTTTGGCACGAGATATATGATGGTTTGAATGATAGTTAAACCTTTGCATGTGAAAGATTGTATGGAGATTACATTGAACGTAATTCAATAGTTTTATGTCGAGGAGGAAATAATATCAGATTTGAAATTAGTGTTATCAACCTTGGGTGTGTACCCATATCTATCAACGCATGCTTAAATAGAAAGAAAGGGGGTCATAATTCAAAAAATTTGGAGGCTACAATGTGCTTGCTAGGAAGACTTTGATACTAGTGATGGTTTGAGAGTAAGGCAAATGACCGGTGTGATTTTGATATTTGTTAGTATAAAAAAAATTAACTTCAGTAGAGTACTATAAGAATATGTGAGGTTTTATAAATCAAGTATGTATACGATTATAATAAGCACCAGACTAGTTGATTGTGGGTAGCTACAAAAATTAAAGAGATAGAGTCATATGAATGTAAATGTTTAACATGGACACTATGAAAGAAGTATCTAGTGTTATTCGACTTTGGTTCTGTGTATTCTTATATGACCATCAACTACGTTTTGGATATAGTTTGGAGTGTGATTCGCTACCTATACCTAGACGTGTTTTCATATCTATGGATGAATTTCTAGTGGTGGATCGGGTGTACCGATCATGTGATTGTCTTCATGGTAGACTGGCATCTTTGTGAAGACTTGGTCACTTCAGTTATGGCATATTTCAATGTTGTTTGGGAAAGTAAAAGTTTATTGTTGTTTATATATGCATGACCTTGCCTATGATAACTTATAGAAGAGTTCTTGTGAATAGCTACAGTTATACAACAGTGTTGTTAAAAGTTCTGCATCCAAGAATATATCGGTCTTTGGGTGCTTACTTTATTCTTGTTCTTCCCTGGATTAGATAAGTTTGATTATCCCCTTAATGAGTACTCGATGTCTAAAGATTTTTTTTTTATATATAACTTAAGCTTGTGGAAATATTGTTCTAAGAAAAGCGATCAAAAAAAAATATTGTGATGATACTAACTTCTTGTTGTAGTCACTACTGATTCAGAATGTTCTCTTGGTTATGTGAGAAAAGAATCGTCACGATGTTTAAGTTATGGTCCAGAGGGTTTCATTTTAAATTTGGTTCATAGATTAGTCTATAGGTTGATAATCACTCGTGATTTGTAAATTTTTCAAGTTTAATTGGAAGGATCAGTTCTTAGTAGTTATTCTTGAATGGAATGGTCTTAAAGAAGAGCCCACTTAGAGAGACAAACACCGACTCTAGAAGATCATACCTCAGGATTTTGGTAACGTCGTTCATTCTTCCTTCTTCTTCCTTATGTTCGTTACTCTTATATTAATAATTTTTAATAATTTTTATAAATAAATTATGACTTATAAGAATGGGTGAAATTATTTTCATATTTAACCAAAGATTATTTTGTTGCTAATAATAATAGAAAAGAAAAATAAATAAATAATAAAAAAAACAATATAAGGGCAATGTTGATGGCTGTAGTGGAGAGAAGCAGTTCACGCAGCCGCCGAGGAAAAAAAATTAGAAAAGGGTTGGGTGAGAATAACTTCTTCTTCCAGTGGTTGGAAAAAAATGAATTTTTCTTCAGGTAATTAGTAATCACTCTTAAATCTTTATACTAGTCCAGATCATATTATTGTTATCCAGTTGATTGAGTTATGTGAGTAAAATAAATAAAAAAAATGGAGTGAGCAGTGAATGCTCTTCGATAAGAATTTATTTCTATGTTTATTTGAATCGATAAGTAGCTAATCTAATATTATGTTTTATAATATGCTTGTTAAATAAGGAAATCGGAAGGAGTCTAGCAGTTTGTTTTGGAAGTTTTGGTGGGGATAAGATCTAAAAGTCGTCATTAATTGATGACCAAATTCTTTTTATTCGAGGTATTGAAATAAAAAAAAAACAATGCTCAAGAGGTTTATACGTATGAAAAGGGGTTCAGGTGTTTGATTTTCTCCATTTAAGTTACTGTATGTAACTTGATAATAATTTGGGCCTTTCTTTTATTATATTGTTATAACTATTTTGGAAAAAATTAGTGTTGGTACTATTCTTATTCTTATTATTATTATTATTATTATTATTATTATTATTATTATTATTATTATATAACATTAGATATTTGTAATATTATTATAATGGGTTGAGACTAATTATATGCCAATGATTAGAGGATAAGGGTGGGGAAAATTATAGGTTATATGAATATGCAGATTGTTATATTTACGTAAGTAAATGCCGATTTTTGTAATTAGGTCCGAGTGCTCTATAATTTATTTTTATTAATTATAACTTTGTTATGGTACAAGTTTTGAGATGATGGGATATGTTGTTAAGTAGTATGTGCATTATATTATATGAATATAATTAAATTCATCAAACTGGAGGAATTGAGACTTAAACCTACGCTTAAAATTTGGAAAAATATAAGAATTAACATACTAAATAACATCGATATTTGAAAACTTAAATATTAATTTGGGTGTTGTAAGCTTCAAAATCTTATCGTGATTATTGATGTCAATAGATTCATTGAGTTGAAAGTTCAGCAAAAGGGGAAAACCCAAATCTTGGAGTGAATTCTCGATTGGTTGAGGCAAATGGATTTCTAAACTCTTGTTAAGTGTATGAAATGCGTGTATTTTCTTGTGGTATATGTTTGGGAGTAACGAGATTGGTGATGGGTTCACTTGTCCACATTGGTTAATCTAATGATGAAAAAAAAGGGATAAAAAAAAGGGCAATGTAATTAATTATTTAAGTGTGATGTGTTCAGAAAGGGATGAAGGATTGTTGAATCATTGTTAATGTGATTTCATGTTTGTGTGGTTTTGAATTGTGCAATGTTATGAAAATGGTCATCTTCTCATTATTTGTGTGAACTTGTCATCTGCATTATTATGAGGCATTGGTTGTGACAAGTGTTATGTGCATTGAGAAAGAATGACTACTTAAGAAGATGTACAGTTTCGAGGGACGTATCGCGCGCCGCGATGGATACTATATTTCGAGGGACGTATCGCACGCTGCGATGGATACTATATTTCGAGGGACGTATCGCGCGCCGCGATGGTTACTATTATCGAGGATTGTGTCATGCGCCGCGACAGATGCATGGATAGATATGTCCCCCATGGGTCCAGGACTAAGAGACAGCGGGTGTGTATCACTAGGTCAGACATGCATCATTATACTTGACATTGCATTCCATTGCATTGCACATACTTATCATTAGTGAATTTGATATCGTGTTTTGCTGATCTTCTGATTGCCTTTCTGTTGAACTTGTGATTGATCAATATTGAGCTTGTTATAGCGGATATGTAATTTGTTGAAGTGTTGTTGTTGAGGATATGTAATTTGTCTAAGTGTTGTTGTTGAGATACGTGCTATGTAGACTGTGAGCTGTTAGGTTGGGTTGATTTTAATGCAGATTGTAGTTGTGGAGGTTCAGTTGGGGGTGGTAGGAGTACCCATATTTCATCCCCTTATCCTGTGTTTAGAGGTTTACTTGCTGAGTACCGTGTGGTTTGGTACTCACCCCTTGCTTCTACAAATTTTTGTAGGTTATGAGCCTGGATTTTTGTTGTACTTGTCATTCTCTTCTTTTCCAAGGCTTCTTGGAGATTTGTCAGGTAGCTATTTCCATCGCAGCAGACTTTCTTCTCCTTAATTATGATCTTGTTCTATTCTAGAAACAAGTTCATTTGAGACTTGAGTTTTTCTTTTGAATCAATTGTAATACTTTAGAGGCTTGTACACGTGACTACCAGGTTTTGGGGGGTCTTATTAAGTTACTTATATTTTATTTCCGCACTTTATGGTAATGGTTGAGTTTTAGGCTGACTTGTCTTGGTGGGATAAGACGAGTGCCATCACGTCCATTTTTGGGTCGTGACACATCTACTAAAAGTATTTAGCTACTGGTGAAATATGTAAAGATGTTTGAGACTTTCATTTCCCTCATTCAGTTTCTTTCATTTAATTCTTACATGAAGTTTAAGTTCAAATTGTCCAATTTAATTAATTATTTTTCTCTTAGTTAAGTTATGACTCATCTTTACAAGAAAAAATACATATATCTTTCAATACAAAAAAAAGGCTTTGTTGATTTTCTTGTAAAAAAATTTGAGATAGATGCAACATGAGTATGCCTTCTATCTTGCCTATTATTTCTTATATATATGAAAGTTCATTATATATTTTTCTTAATTAATTATTGTAATTTGTAACTATGTTTTTTGTTGATCTATTTTTATTCTATCAGTAAATTACTAAATCAAAATGTGCACACATTTAACAGATAATTATTTTTCTTTCACGCTATTTGTGGTTTCTTCGTCTTTAATATCAAAGAGGTCATACAAACACATCGTTACAACAACTTCATGCAACTTAGCCTGGAACAAACGTACAATACACGTGCCCAAAACTAGTATTATTATTAGTGGAAAGCTCTCAACTTCAAAGTTGAATTACTATTTAGCCCTTACAACAAATTAAAAAGTAATTAAATTTTCAATTAATTTGCAAATTGAAAAGACTTTAAAACTTTATTATGAAATTTGAAAGGATGCATGAAAAATGAAAAGAGAATAATCAGTTCGTACGGAATTCAAATCACTATAAATAGGCTTATATCCTTCATTGTATGAAATTCAAATGTCTACATCAGTACCATGAAAGATATGCACTCATATTCATCATTGGGATTGTTACAAAGAGAAAGTTTTCCAGGCTGGATGGAATTCAAAGAATGAAACCATCTTTAACTTCTTGGACAAATATGATTGGTGCCTTGATAGGAAAAACATGGTTTGGAATGTCAGGATCGATATAGGAAGAACAAATTCCAGAAGATGAATCACCATAGTTGCTATTTATTCATGATTTTATTGTTTTAAATTTGAAATATGGCTGAAAATATCTACAATGATGATCATCTGTATGGAGATAATCTCCCCCCACCCACCCGATGGTCCTAGGATATATATATATATGAGGGTAATGTAACAACTGTTTTTCTCTTTAATATTTCATATATATATTTAGACAACAAAGATTGAGCCAAAATTTGTTTTTATTTAAACGTGTAATTACACGTACAAAGTATGTGTCGAGAACTAGTATTATTAAAAGTGAGAAGCTCCTAACCTCAAAGTTAGCTGTTTTTCTTTTTAACATTTTCATATATGTATTTAGCCAAAAAAGATTGAGCTATATTTTTAAGGCATTTATACTTTGAATTTATTTTGGAAAAACAATATAACAAAATAAATAATTATACAAAGTAATATTGGCGGTATATTTAAATGATAAAATAATAAGAGCATAAAATAAAAATTGTTTGTGGGTCACACAATTTTACTATTTTAAAAATTTATTAAATAGCTAAGCAGTTGTGAGTAATGTAATAGAAGTATTAAAAAAAAATTAGTGGGTCCAAATACTTCTTTTTATAACTTTTAAAAGAGGAGTGCTTTTAATTATGATCCAAAAAATTTATACTTTATGGATAAGCTCGCCTTATCGAGATCTAAATAGATACTCTTTATGTCTTTTATTATTTGCCAATTTTTATTTTATTGTTATTCTTAATTATTTGTCTATTTTAATAATTTAAAAAATAATAATTTTATTTATTTATTATATACTCAATATTTTGAAAATGTAAAATTTTTCATTCACTTCATTATTAATAGGGTAAAATGGTAAATTTACTATGTCATTATGTTTTTCTTAATATGTATTTCAATCTAAAATTGAACAAGTAATTAGAGACCGGGGATATTAAAAATGTCACGACCCAAACCGGGTTACGACTGGCACCCACACTTTTCCTCCTATGTGAGCGAACCAACCAATCTAACCTTAACATTTCAATATAATATCAACAGAAAGTAATGCGGAAGACTTAAACTCATTAAATAAAGACCAATTCATTAACTTCTAAAATTCAACATCTATTATTTCCCAAAATCTGGAAGTCATCATCACAAGAACATCTACGATCAAATGACTAAACTAAGAGTATTCTAAAAGCTAAAAATACATAAGAAGCTAGTCCATGCCGGAAGTTCAAGGCATCAAGACTTGAAGAAGAAGATCCAGTCCAAGCTAGAAGCATTAGCTCACCCTGAATTTCCGATGTAGTAAGACTGGCTTGAATTGCTGTTGAGTTGAAGACGATGGCACGTTTGCTGCACTCCACAAATAAACAAGAAGAGAACATAAAAGTAGGGGTCAGTACAAAACACGGGTACTGAGTAGATATCATCAGCCAACTCAAAATAGAAATCAATATATACCAAGTAATATCATAAAACCAACTATGATACTCAACATGTAGCAACAACAAGCACTATATCATTAACAATTACCATCAAGTTCACACATGAGGACTCAAGCCTCAATACCATACTCATTTGGGAATCATGTTCATTAGATTGAGTATATTAACATCTTTCAAGATTCATTATCTTTATTTCTCTTGTGTCGGCACGTGACACTCCGCTCCCTCATATTCATTAATCCTCTTGTGTCGGTACGTGACACTCCGATCCCCTAAATCTACGTGTCGGTTCGTGACACCCGATCCCCTAAATCTACGTGTCAGTTCGTGACACCCGATCCCCTAATTCTACGTGTCGGTTCGTGACACCCGATCCCCTAAATCTACGTGTCGGTTCGTGACACCCGATCCCCTAATTCTACGTGTCGATTCGTGACACCCGATCCCCTAATTCTACATGTTGGTTCGTGACACCCGATCCCCTAAATCTACGTGTCGGTTCGTGACACCCGATCTCTTAAATCTACGTGTCGGTTCGTGACACCCGATCCCCTAAATCTACGTGTCGGTTCGTGACACCCGATCCCCTAAATCTACGTGTCAGTTCGTGACACCCGATCCCCTTAATCTACGTGTCGGTTCGTGACACCCGATCCCCTAATCTCTTTCTATCAATTCATCAAGCCTTCTTTCTCACCAAGGCATCATCAATCTCATTACTTTAGTTCAGCAAGCCTTCTTTTATATCAAGGCATAATCATTAACAAGAGATTAGGTTTTTATCAAGATTTGGGATTCGATAGCTTCATCATGCTTGATATAATCACAATTATATAATCACGTTCATGCATGCATACAATTAAGCACATAGCAGGGTTTTACAATACTACCAATACATATCATTCTCTATTAAGAGTTTACTATGAAAGCATGAAAACCATAAC